TGTTCCTGCAACCTTCGGGTGGCATCGTTGTGGCACTGCAGGAGGCCAAGGATGGACATGTTGTCTGAGGAATGGGAGGGGGAGTTGAAATGGTTCGTGACTAGGAGGTGCAGTTGTTTATTGCGAACCGAGCGTAGGTGTTCTGCAAAGCAGTCCCCGAGCCTCCGCTTGGTTTCCCCGATGTAGAGGAGGCCACACCGGGTACAGCGAATGCAGTATACCACATTGGCAGATGTGCAGGTGAACATCTGCTTGATGTGGAAAGTCTTCTTGGGGCCTGGGATGGGGGTGAGGGAGGAGGTATGGGGGCAGGTGTAGCACTTCCTGCGGTTGCAGGGAAAAGTGCCGGGTATGGTGGAGCTGGAGGGGAGTGTGGAGCAGACAAGGGAGTCACGGAGAGAGTGGTCCCTCCGGAAAGCAGATAAGGGTGGGGAGGAAAAGATGTCTTTGGTGGTGGGGTCGGATTGCAGATGGCAGAAGTGTCGGAGAATGATGCATTGGATCCGGAAGTTGGCGGGGTGGTACATGAGGACGAGGGGGATTCTTTTTTGGTTCTTATTGCGCGGACGGGGTGTGAGGGATGAGTTGCGGGAGATGTGGGAGACGAAGTATGTCTTTTTTCAGCAACAATCAGGTTCTGTACGTCCAAACAACTAGCTTTGTAATAGCTGGTATTAATCCAATATTAAATACTCAATGTGGTATTTTAGGAGCAGAAAATATTGATAGTGTGTGTTTTAGCAACTCTTATTCATACCTGTTTTGACCGCTTCGTGGTTTTTTACTAGTGCTTGTTTCAGTTCTTCTAGTTTTTTCAGAAGTGACGACGAAACAAGAATCTCAGTTAAATCCTTATCACAGGGAAAGATTGACTCAGTGAATGAATCATGCATTGACAGCTCTTCTGTCAAAAAGAGAACATTTGAAAATGTAGCTTTCAATTAACTTGTAACTTATGCAGTCATAATGTACAGTTCACACTGCCTGTAATCTGTACTGGAACAAACATTATCTTCAGTGTTTCGCTGCACCCTCTGGTGGTTCAATCAAGAACCAGACCAACCAAGGCACAGAATATGTGTCATCAAAATTCCAATCAGTAAATGTGTAGATTCAGGGAAGAAACCGGAATTGAAGAATGATTCCTCCTGTTTTTTCCTTCTGTATTAATAATCACAACACACTACAAGGGATTGAAGAGATGCCATATGGCTTTTTGTCTCTACCACTCTGGGAAAGCGGTTAAATTTATGCTCTATAAGGCATTTGACTGAAGGAGATAAGTGAAGAGTTTATGAACTTAATTACAGAGCATATTGGAATACAACACTATAATTAACAACACTTGCCAGATGTACCTAATGTATTATTCATCAAAAAACATTGTTCAGATTAAAAGCAAAAGCTGTTATCAAGGTTTCCAAAGCATACAAATCTGGTTCAGGTTCTGAAGTGAAATACACGTTGGCGTACTTGTTGCTGAGGGTGGATACTGATTCTTCAATAAATGGAGCAGTCATCTTTTCCAATTTAATTATATCGAGCACCTTGGGATGTTTCACTAACACTAAAGGTACTGCGAAAATGTAAGTTATTTTCAAAAGTTTTGATTGATTTCAATTAAAGACAAAAATGAGTCGACATGAAAGAGTTCCTCCTGACCTACTGCAATTCCAGAGCTTTGTCAGAGAGATATTTTCACCCAATCCATGCGCTATCTCGGGTTCCAGGGTTATCTGAATATTTCGGGCTGGCCACTGGCAAATTCTGCTTATCCTGGAGAGCCCCCTCACAGGGAATGAAGTGAAAGTTCTAAAAGCCCGAGTGATGGGAAATAATTTGACTGTCATGTTCCCATCAGTCCCAGCTCATTCCAATCTGCGCATTATTAATTCTTAACTCACTCCTTACACACATTTCTCAGCACATTTCATCATGCATTTTATTCAATTGGTGATACAGTTTAGTGGTTATGATACCAGAATTGCAATTGTAGACACCAGGCGTGGAATGTTTTGAGCCCAGAAAGTGGCCGGGTTTTAGTACACCATCACTCACTTGATAACTTTGCTTTCTTGCCCCTGCTAGATTTCGTTTCTGGTTCAGAATGTCCATATGTGACCTTGATGCCATGCTTCCAATTGAGGCCCTTAAGGTGTCAATTAAGGATTATGTCAGGGTCTATTCACGCCTGGGCTGCAATTAACTCAGCTCCAGGTGGAATAAGTAAGAGGTTGCCCACCTGTTTGGTAAATCAGTGCATGTTGCCTATTAGTTGGGATTAGGGTCATTTGTGCATAATTGAAGGCATGGCCATAGGGCAGGGGAATAGCCAGCGAGATCCATCCACCTTCAAACTCAGCCCCAGAAACCAATTCACCCATCTGACACAAAGTGCTTGCCCAACATTTCAGTCCATATGATCTTGGTTATCTTTTGATAGCAGCCATGGCCTCCTTTATGGTGCTGCCAAGTGCAGAAGCTATCAGTATCTGACTGGCCACAAGCTTCTCACTGACTGGGAATGCCATCACAGGAATTTGATGCCCGAGGAAATCTTGTTGCTGCTCTTTTCGCTGTCTGTTTGAAAGAAGGTAGGGTGGGCCTTCCTCTGAAGGGTCAGCTCAGATAACTCGTGACCTTTTTAGAAAGTAATTGAGGCACCTGAAGAAAATTGAAGAATCCCATCTGCATCTTTAAACCTCCACCATGGAAATTCATGAAATATGAATTCAGTGTGATCATCTGTGAGATGGGACTAGTTAAAATGGCATGAACACTGGCTGGATTGTAATCGAGTGCCAACTGGCAGCTTAATACGCTTTAAAGATGGGACTTGTCCACCATTCCCTGGACTGCCCTACATGTGACTCCAGTCCCACATTATGCCCAGGATTCTCCTTGAAGCTGCTCACTTTCTGCTACTGCAGCCTCACCAGAAGTGCAGTGGTTACACTGTTTATACACATGAACTGAGTTTTTGATATACGTTGGGTGAAATTATCATGATTGGGCACACGTGTTTATGTTTCATGCCCTCAGGATCACAAGGGGTCACCAATAAACACCTCTGATGCCAGCAACATCCTGGAAACTAATTTTGCAAAAAATATGCCTGCAATAAATCAGGTAATTTATTTAAAAACTAACATAAATCTTCTGCAATGGCTCAGTTGGTAAAGGATTCGGAGTTTAAATTTCAGCCTCTACCATTAACCCCTGCTGGGCTGGCAGTAGGTGCACTTCAGTTCACCTCAAAGCTTTAGGTCTAAGGACTAACTAAGATTTCAACACTTGACTGACACCTGCTGCCCAGTTGTATGTGCATTTATGTGGGGACGGGGGGCAGAAGTAAAGTTTAGTTTGGCCATGATGATCCTAATGGACAAATAGTCTCAAACTGGCACTCCCTATTGCACATCACCCAGGTAGTCACTGATGCCTACCCACTGGGTATCGAGTGACTGGATGCTTTTGTGAAGAGAGCAATTCTACCAGCTTTCAGAATAAAAACCAATGGAACTATAAAGAACATTTTACATCTTAGTATAAACCTGAATAAATGCCAAGTTTCTTCATGAAATACCAACATGATAAAACCTCAGGGAAGCTGAGGCAATTCTGACTGTGACTTCTCGCTTTCTGAATTGAACTGAGTATGTTCAGACACCAGATGTTGCTGTCCAGTTTACTCTTTAGTAATAGTGAACACTGATTTCAGACTCACCTTTCACTGGAGCAAAAACTGTTCTTTGCTTCTCAATATTGCCTGACATTTCTGCACTGTCAGTGGCAAATTGTTCAACAGGATTCCTTTCCTACAGAAAAAAAACGCATTGTAATTTACTGTGTGTCCTGGCTAATGAGATTCTTGTGCATGAAAGGATAATCACTTAGCATTGAGTAGCCTGTTCTTCAGAACTGGAGAAGGAAGGATGATAATTTTGATAATTGCCCCACTGTAAGTGATTTTTTTTCCTACATCACTTCAGTGAACATTTACTGAAAGCTTTAATATGTACAACTAATGAACTTATCATGATGTCCTACTCTGTTGTTTTCTTGTGCTCCATAGCAGAGTGGACTATTGCTACTTTAAGTGTTGTTTTCATGGGAATTTATACAGAAGATTTTCAAGAGGTTGAATGAAGGGACTTCCTGTGATTGTACTGGTTGCTGACAGCAGAGAGATTTTATTACCATATAATATGCCATAAAATTGATTAAACTATTTCTGCATGGAATTCTTGTTCAAATACAAAACTGTGCTCCTTATATAACTTTTACCTCTTGTTCTGTGTTGGCTTGAACTGAAATCATCACTCCATCTGAAAACCTATATAACCTTTGTGCCTTTGTAATCATTTCTTTGGAGATGCTGATGTGTCCAGAGTTGATTTTATGAACTAAGATATTTAGATTATTAAAAAGTTCCTCAAGACACTGGCTGGACTGATCTCCTAAATAGAAAAAGGGAAATGTTAATAAAATATATAACTTAACAGTGTGAGCAACATTACACAATAAAGTTGTTCACTGTGGTGTTGTACAGTTTAATTTTACACAAGGGATTGGTATTTGCCTCACAAATACCTCATTTACCCCACTATTTTCTTCATTTCTAAAGGTCTTCAATGGCTAATAAGGTTTCTATTAGATTGTAATTTGTATCACCTTTCTTTCAGCATTATGCTACAATCACAATTTGACTGAATTGGCAATGATTGTGATTCAGATAATCATGTCATATTATGGTATAGTAACCACCAAACAATTATTCTCATGATGATCACACATCAACTATCATTTTTGACCATAAGAAATAGGAACAGGAGTAGGCTGCTTTGTCCCTTAAGCCTGCTCTGCCATTCAATAGTATCATAGCTGATCTGACATTCTCACACCCACTTTCCTGCCTTTTCCCCCCGCAATACTTGATTCCCTCCCAGATCATAGAATCCCTACAGTTGCAAACAGGCCCTTTGGCCCAACAAGTCCACTCCGACCCTCACAGCATCCCATCCCCTGTAAGCCACCTAATCTACACATCCCTGAGTACTATGGACAATTTAGCATGGCCAATCCTGTGAAACCGGAACACCCAGAGGAAACCCACGCAGACACGAGGAGAACATGCAAACTCCACACAGGCAGTCGCCGGAGGGTGGAATTGAACCTGGGTCCCTGGTGTTGTGAGGCAACAGTGCTAACCACTGAGCCACCATGCTGCCCCAATGAATGTAATGATCTCAGTTATAAATGTAGACAAGGTCTCTGTCCTCACAGCTCTGTGGCAAGGAGTTCGAAAGACACACAACTGTCTGACAGAAGAAATTCTCAATTCATTCTTAAACTGGTGCCCCTTTATTCTAAGCCAATGCCCTCTGGTCTTAGACTTTCCTATGATGGGAAACATCCTCTTATTTTGTTGATGTAACTTAAATTCTCAAATCAATGGGAAATACTCAGTTAGTGAATCTAGACCAAAAACAGAAGTAGGTGGAAAAGCTCAGCAGATCTGGCAGCATCTGTGAAGATAAAAATCATAATTAATGTTTCGGGTCCAGTGACCCTTCCTCAGAACTGGTTTTTATTCAGTGAATCTAGATTTTTTTTTAAATCAGCCTGTTCAGGAATGTTATGACACACCTCTGTAGCAGATGGAACTTGAGTTCAGGCCTTATGGTGGGGACACTATCATTGTGTCAGAAGAGTCTTTAGTTATGGGAGAATTCAGCTCCACAACTTTTGACTAGTGGTTCAACCTTGAATTTTGTTTGTAAGTTTGAATCTGCTATTAGCTCAATGCAAGGCTGAACATTAAATATTTCACCAATAAAAGGGAAGCCCTCAAAATGTTTTTTCTTTATGATACTACATAGAACATTGCTTGATCAACAGGAAAATTCTGCACAGTGTCTGGGATGGAGACTGAACGTATAACAACTCAATAGCCAGAACGTATGATTTAAAAAAAAAAATTTCCTGAATGTGGGTATTGTGGGCTAGGCTATCACTTATTGCCCACTCCTAACTGTCCTTGTGATAATGAACTGCCTTCTTGAATTGCTGCAGTCCACTAACCACTGGTAGGTACACCAACACTGCTGTTTGTGATTTCCCACTGGTAGTGATGGAACAGCGGTACAGTTCCAAATCAGGATGATGTGTGGCTTGGCGGGTAGTGGTTTTACCATATATCAGCTGCCTTTGTCCTTTCAGGTGACAGGTGTTGAGAGTTTAGCAGGTGCAGTTAAAGCATCCTTGATGAGTTATTGTGGCACATCTTGTGGATGGTACATATTGCTGCCACTGAGCCAAAGTGGAGGGAGTGAATATTGAAGATGGCAGGTGGTGTCCCAATCAAGTGGCTGGTTTGTCCTGAATGGCGTTCAGCTTCCTCGGTGTTGTTGGAGTTGCATTCATCCAGACAAGTAGAACATTTCCTGTCACCTTCTTGACTTGTTCCTTATAAATAGTAGACTGACTTTGGAGAGTCAGAAGGTGAGTTACTCGCCACAAAATTCCCATATTCTAACAAGTTGTTCTATTTATACAGCAGATCCAATCTAGTTTCTGGTTATTGGTAACCCCTAGGATGCTGATGGCAATTGAGTAAGCCTTCCATTGTCGAAAATGATTACCTTCTTAGTTTTCCAAAGCAAACTGCAAAAAATCTATGATTGTTTAGCACAGAAAAATTCTTATCCATTAGGCCATGTCCTGCATGTAACTATGATGAATAGAATTAATCCACAGAGGCATAAAAGTCTTTCAAAATAAACAGATACAAAACATACATGAGAATGTTGCTCATATTACACATTAATATTGGGAAATGTAATTTGGGATAGACTTTCGTGAAATGGTTAACCAGCAAGGTTACACCAAAAATTTGTGCTGATCTTCCCATCAACATTTTAAAGCAAAAGTCTTATTTATGCACATTGGAATGTAAAAACTGCTGTAAAATAAATAAAAATCAGTGTAAATAATCACAGCACAAGGAATAAGGAACTTTTGACATATCCTTTCTTTAAATCCCCAATATGCTCGAAAATTAAATTTTGGAGACATCAAGTCATTAACTTTGCACATAGAACATCATGGTCAAAAAATGGAACTGTGGAAGTGTCTCAAGTTTTACTTTAATTCATTCTGAAGACAAACTTCTGTAACAGGCTGCAGGAAAGAATGTTTGGGTTGGTTTTCTCTTGGAAAGCTCAATATTAATGTAGCGTAAAACTACAGCCAAGAAAACACTCCAATGCCTCTACTTCCTCAGAAGGCTAAGGAAATTCAGCATGCCCACAATGACTCTTACCAATTTTATAGATTCACCATTCACCATATTTGGATGCATCACAGCTTATTTCGGCAACTACTATGCCCAAGACCGCAAGAAATTAGAGTTGTGAACACAGCCCAGTCCATCACGCAAACCAATCTTCCCTCAATTGACTCCGTCTATTCTTCCTGCTGCCTCAGGAAAGCAGCCAGCATAATGAAAGACCCCTCCCACACTGGTTATATTCTGTTCCGTCGGGCAGAAGATACAAAAGTTTGAAAACACCAACAGATACAAGAACAGCTTCTTCCCTGCTGTTATCAGATTTATAAATGGACTTCCTATATATCAGAGTTTATCTTTCTCTGCACCTTCTCTATGGCTGTAACACTATATTCTGCATACTACTCTATTACCTCAATGTACTTATTTAAGGTATGATTTCCTTGAATACTATGCAAAACAATAGTTTTCACTATATCTCTATACGTGTGACAATAATAAATCAACTCAAACCAGTCAGTAACTGTATGGGCCCAACGAACCACAATGATGGACTGGGAATATCTTTACATTTGTTTACGACTGACAGCCTCAAATGACTGTCTGAATCAAGCTGATGGTCTTTTTCGTATGTAATTCTGGTTCCTAATGATGGAGCCGGAACCTTGATCACAATTTTAAGGAATGCAGGCACACACACACACACAGAGCAAGAGAGGTCAGATTTTACCCCAGGCTCTGAGAGATGAATTTTTTTTAAATGTATAAAGTGACATTAAAACTAAGGAACTTAACTTTAGGTAAAGCTGTGCCTAACATCTTAAATGTAAAATAACAAACTGTTCAGAACTGGCATGAAAATTGAAATTATGCTATATTTGTGCTTTTGCTTTGCTGCAAGCTTATTTGGCCCAATGTATGTTGCATTGTACTTACGCCAGGATTGCAAAGAAGCAGAAGTCTTCCTTACTCTGTATTACTGGGCTTCCCTCCCAGAAGTTAATGGTGGTACAGCTGCCAACCCTATCACTTGTCATTATTCTCGGAGCTTCAGCTTGTGCTCTGCTCATGGTTTCCAGCTCATCTACCATGATCCATTTTCCTTCTTTGTTTTGGCACTTGCAAGAATTAAAACCATCCAGCATTTCCTGAATAGAAAATATCAGTACGAGATTATAATGTCTCAAATCAAACATCACTGATTAAAACTATTTACAGTTGTTCAGAAGTGAAATCAGAAACCACTTTTGCACACCAAAGATAATTTCACACTGTCTGCACTAAACTCTTGAAAAGCTGGGGGTTGATTTAAATCTTGATGACAGAAATCAACAGAGTTTTGTTTGGTTTGTGTTTGAAGGGAATCTGGGTCAAAGACAGGAAAGTAGTACAGATCAGTTCTCATCCAAATAGTGGTGGAACAAGTACTGCTGCTCAAATGCTTATTTTATTCCTATTTCAGAAATATAGAGTTAACACCACATTCCAACGCTGTCAGTGGGAGCTGCACTTTCAGGATACAGCATTAAGATTCCAACATTTACAAGTTTGTGATGACAATAACTTAGCCAATGAGGGAATTGCTTCACATTGAATATTTTTTCAACAATGCTACTTATTGTTTTGCTATAGCATTTCATTTCAAACAAAATGAAGATTGTGTGATATTTCAGCCTATTTTAAAAGTTAGATCACTTAATAGAGTCCTTTGCATTTCAAACCTTTAACTCCTGGGTTTGTTGGCTGATGTGTCGATAAAATGCCTGAACATCACTCTTGTGTTTATTCAGCTGAGCAGCAAGGTGAAGATTCTGATCCTCCAGTTTGTCATACAAGTACAAACATTAAAATCCTCCAGTTCGATTTCTGCTAGACTTTTACCTGGTAATAGATAAAAGGAGTGTAAATGATCATAGTCAAATAAATGTTTGTTTATGGTCTATCTAATTCAGTGTTCCTTTAATTCTATACAAGTGTCTACTTCTTGAATGGCACATTAGGGGGAGACTGGCTTTAAATCCTGATATTTAAGTAATCTGGCAAAACTTTAATAATGACATTGCATTGGGACATACAAAGAGGGAAGAAATAAGGGGAAAATATTGTATTTCACATTTACATTTCAGGATGCCCTCAAATTTTCACAGCCAATGGAATGTGGTTACAGTTGTTTTGTAGACAAAACTGTCTCATTAGAGGCAGTTTGTACCCAAGGTAAATTTAACTACATTGGTGATGTTGATTTGAATGTTGAATGGTGTTGGGTCACTGGGAGAATACTTTGTTTCTCTTTGATAAACAAACATCTTTTGTAACCACCTGAACAGACAGGTGGAACTTTGGTTTACTGTCTCATTTGATACATGACCCTCTTGTAGTACTGCATTTCCTCAGTAGTGGACTGAAGAGGTCAGTATTGGTAATGTGTTCAAGCCCATAGATAGGGCTTGAACCCAATGCTGAACCTAGACCCTGCTATTAGAAGAAACTCGGTTTCATAAAAATGTTTCTATAAAACACATGAAAAAAAGTTAAGCTAGCTTTATAGAGCACTTAATAAAATAATGCAATGGTACAAGACAAGAGGAGGAAATATTTTTGAGAGAATGTGCTAACTCATAAGCAAAGGTGTGGAGGAGAAGGGTAATCATCCCATACCTGCTACGAGGGTCGATTCCTCTTCTGCTTCTGCTCCTTCTCCAGCAATTCGAGGTCCAAGAGCTTCGTAAAAACCCAAACTAGGGAAAAATGTTGCATCCTCATTCACCATTCTCAATCAAGGATATAAACACAATCATTAACACATCTAAAAACAATACATTAACTCATCATTTGGCTATGTACAATTATGTTTCAGTCATTTCCTTTGTGGCTCCTGCATGAATTGGTTCAGATAATTGGCAAGTGATATGATTGAAGGCCTCTAACAATGCCTTCTGCAATTGACTAGACATTGCCTCATGGTAACTCACCTGTTGATTTCCCTTCCTCTTTTTGGAAGATTATCTGTATTCTCTCTCTCTTTGTGGAAACTGGAGTGAGAGATACAGGTAAAAGCCCCTTTATGTCACTCAAAGACATAATGCATTGAAATACAACGTGCCTCACAACAGCACCACTCTTTAGCAAAGGCAAACAAACTGCCTTAAAGTTTCCACAATGGGGGAATCTCTCTCAATATCCAAAACAAGTTTGAATATTTCACTTGTATCTCCAAATGTCCTCTTTAATAGGTAGCTTTTAAATTTTAAGCAAAAGTAACAACTATGGACAAGATTTTCCCTTTAGGCTGGGGAAGACCTCTCTCTAAATGGTCAAGTGGGAGTCAGAAGCATGCACTGCCCAGGAACACTGCACCCATTGTGATTTTCCTTGAATTGGCCAAATTCATGGCCAAAGGGTGAGCCTGCCATTCAATTAAGGATGACAGGTCAGCTCTCGAAGCCAGAGGACCAAGAGGGATCCTCCAGTATTTTAGAAGGAGCAGTTTGTCTCTTCAGGAGGAAAACAATACATCCAAGATGAAGGCACCCTCTTCATAAGTTCTAAAATTTTAAATAAAAAAAAGGTCTTAGCAGCCAGTTCACCATCATAGAAGGTGATATGTTGTACCAACCTGCCTCTGCGCAATTGAGGTCTAAAAATACAGCACTGCAGCACCATTTTGCAAAGATAGCAAAGGAGCGATAGCTGCATGAAGTATATCATCAGCATCTGAATTCTGAGGTTTTATGCGGTGGCAAGCAAATGTTTATCTGTATTAAATTCCTTACCTGTCCTTCAGTATGACATACTCAGATGGGATATAATGTTCCCCCAAACTGCGCCATTTTGGTTTCCATGTTTGCATGGGATTTAATACTGACTGAATAGGTGTCATCACCATAGCAGACACTGTAAACAGTGCAGTAATCACAGCAAGGATACAGAGTGCACCTGAAGCAAAAAAAAAAATGAGTGAACTCACTCCATTTTCAAATTAGTATGGAAAACATACTTGACTTATTAATATATTTGTTAAAAAATCTGAACATTTATCCTATGATATTATTCATGTTAAGTCAGATGATGTACTATATTATTGTACAATTGAACACAACATATTACTGCTGTGTTAAATGCAGGTCTGCACTCAGTAGCCTCTCTCTTTAAGACCATAAAGTCTATCTGTTCTAAGCAGGTTAATTAGATATCAAAGATTTTTTTTTTCACCAAAAAAGTCAGCTGTTTCTTGGTATATCTTATAAGGCACTGTATAAAATTCAGTTTTTATTTTCCCAAGTCAGAAACAACTATTACCAGGCGACTGGCTTTTTAAAGGTCTTTTACATTTTGCCCAAAAATTTGAATATGCAATTGGTTTTATATTAATTTTTTTTTAATATTTGGTTTCACATATCCTCCTGGCTCTCATTCCCCATGATTGGCCTAGGTTCTGGAACATGGTGGTGATATTGAATAATACCACTTGTTCCTTTAACAAGTCTGTGGAAATTTAGGCAACTGCAGCTGGTGGTAAAATGTTCAGGTCTATGAGAGATTGTAGATTTCAGACTCCAGGTCCAAGGTTTTGCAATAGATTATTTTGTGTCAGGGACCAAACGCGATTGATGTCAGGGAATGAGAAATTTGTGCTCGGTGCAACAAATTCAACACAAATGAACATCTAATACAAGGATTCTCAAAGTATGGTACCTGATGGTACAGATCAGGCTAAATGACAGCAGGCCAGAACTTCCATTCCCACCACTTATGTGAGGTTGCATGGCCAAACAGGCTCCTGCTTGTATGGCATGGAGTTGGCACATAATATAGTTTTATAAGCAAGATTTGTTTTAATCTATTTTTGATTGTTTATAGATGTAAGGTAAGTATCAGATTCACGGAAAAAAGATTGGGATATTTTTACAGACTGTTTTAAAGAACAATGCTCCTTTGTATGGAAATGTCTGTGCTATTTTTTTGCCATGAGTTATTAGTTTGCTTATGATATTTAATAAAAATGCACTTCAATTTATTGCACATTGAATAAAAAAAATATAAAAATGGGGATAACCATAAGTTGCCATTAATTGTGATGATCTTTTGCAGAGGCAAGTGAAAGCAGGCACATTTGGATGGAAAAGTGGTTTGTGGGGTTTTTGGCCCAATCCATGTGATCTGCAAACAAAGTAGTTTGAGAACCAAAAATCTAATACTATATGGTCTATTGATGCAGAGGATGTCTCTCTTCCATTTTGCACTTGAACTCTACGCCCGATTTCCATTCAGTAAATCAATTTGAGATTTTTGAACTTTATTCTTGAATCTTCCTAGTAATAACATCAACACTTCAAGTTCTTGTTAAACTTCTTTCTCATTTCGCAGAGGAATGTCATTCCTCCAATGCAACAAATACTCATATCCTTATATTTATGCCTGAGATAATTTACCAGAAACCGTAACGTACCTTTCATACCACAACTGTATTGTTACAATAAAGTTCTTTATTTACCTATGATGACAGCCCAATCAGGTGCCAGATTGAGGTTTTGCGGTTTTAGAATTCCATGCCGTACCAGCTGGATTGGAGAGGACGGTTGAACCAGTAAAGGTACAGTATCACACTCTCCAAATTTATTGACACTCACCATTAGAGTTCGTTCAGGTTCGGCGTTATCATAAAATACATATTTCCCAGGTTCCATGAAAACACGAGCAAACCTAAGTTAAAACAGAGGGAATCAGTAAAATATATTGTGCCATTAAAGAATCTGCACAAATAATACTTGGTAGGTTCCGGGTGACGCAGATTCTCTGTCTGGTTTCTTCCAGATGTTGAGTTGCGGTCTGGATTATAGTCACATCTGCACATGGGTGTATCTAAATTTCAGCTGAGACTCATTTGGTAACTCACTCACATCAAAGTCTGAAGACAAGCCCAATCCAATACCTGAGCACAATAAGTTAGGCTGCATTCTAGGAGGTGTTGGGTGAGATATTAAACTGAGAACTCACCAGTCTTCTCAAAGTGGGCATAAGAGATTGCATTACACTCATCAGAAAGGGAGTGGGAGAATTCAGCCCAAATATCTTGTCTGATAAATCTCTCCCTAACAACATGACAATTACATATTTGATCATCACATTGCTCTTTGTGGAAGCTTGCTTGTGATTTAGCTGCTACATTTCCTAAGGCATAGCAGTAGCTACATTCACGCTTGCTTCTTTGGCAGCAAAGTGCTTCAGGATGTCCTGAGATCATTTAAAAAAAGTGCTCCATATGTATAGCTTTCTCTAAAAAAGGGGGGGTGCAGAAGGAGTGAGTGCATGCTTGTGTAAGAAAGTGTGTATATGATGGAATGAGTATGCATATGAAGGAGGATATGTGGGTCAGCGACAGAAAGACACAGAAGTTTGAAAAGATGACAATGCATGTCTGTGGGAGGAGAGACTGTGGGTGCTTTGTGGCTCAGAAAGCTCTCTCTGGCAGGAATATCTTTGCCCCTCGCTCACCAACCACTATCACATCCCTTATCTTGATTGGTTTGATTTGTCCCAGAGGCCCTGACACCAACTACTTTGATTCCAAGGTATGTTCATTATCCTTCTTCCGGTTGGGCACAATCCCAGCACTTACCACCTCTCCCAATGGCACAGCTGTGACAAAGAGCTTCCAGTCCTCTGAATGGTCAGTTGTCCTGAAGGCAGGATCTAGACATTCTGATGGAGGCAGTTAATTGCCTGATTGCCACAGAATGGGGTCGGGGCTCCTAAAAGTTGATGAGGCATGACTGCCTGTAACTTATCAGTCTGTGGACAGGGTCAATACTTTCCTGTAAAATTCAGGCCTATGTATATGGGATAATGTGTAAAAATGTAACAGAACACATATGACTTATGCACCTCATATTAAACTGGATGAAGACAAGGTGGACAAAATTATCAAACTAGGGATTGTGCCTACTTTAGAATTAATGATTGAACTGTTGCATTTAGATAAAAGTCAAGAATCCATTATTCATGAAAACTGTTGAAAAGCATCAGTTATTTAACAGTAAATGGAACTCTGTTAATGCTTTATATGCCAGTCAAAGGCAAACATGTGAAGCCAGAGATTTACCTGGAAATGTTGAAATTGGTTTCCCTAATGAAATGATCCAACTTCCTGAAGGACCCAAAGTCCCAGTCTGAATTTGTGTTGAAAAGATGGTCTTTCCGGTAGATGGGGTAGTGACTCAAACTGCGATCTATTGAAGAAAATTGAAAAAAAAACACCAACTCTCTTTCATATAGAGCTCACTATTAAGCTTCTCAGAAACAAAATACTCAGGGGGAATGCACAAGCTTTGAAATGACTGCTTCAGCAAAACTAAAACTTGACATGGCTGCCTTGACATTACTCTATCCTCTATCTGAAAGGAGGCATTAATCCATTTCAAAAGCACCATACAAGAAGTGTCATAGATTTCAAAGATTTCTTTGGAAAGTAATTTCACCAAATGTTGGTTTTGACAATGATGAATGTTGTGTAATGTTAATATTTCAATGATCCATCATTTGGACTCCCCCACTGATGTCATTTTGACCAATTTTGTTCCCTAAATTAGAATATCAGCAATTTGGGCCCATCAGCAATAATAAAACATTAGTAGGCAACTAAAATAGTAGGTGCTATGCCCTGAAATCATCTTGGCATGACAGTGGTAAAACATGGACTTCAATTTTCAACTTCCATCATCTGCATTTCACAACCTGAAATGGCTTTAAAAAGGAAAAGTACACTGACTTAAAAATGGTTGTAGTGATCACATGACAACAACTATGCCAAGCTTCATTAAATCATGAATAAACGAGCACCAGTCTGAACTGAAGTTAACATGCCATCAAACAGAATGAAATCAGTTGACCAGACTTGTACCGCCTTTTTGATGTACACCTTGACAGAAAATTCACATGTTGGAGAGCTATGTGATTTACCACCTTGAAAACAGAGCAGTGCACAAACCAGCTGTATTTCTGGGAGCTCTTTTATTGACAGAGCAGGGGTGAGATGGATTTCTATTGAAATTGGAGATGGCCCTGTCACTGTCTCCCTGCTTTCTCTCAGGCTTATGAAAGACAAAATAGCTAGTAACAAAACAAACAAGACAGAAACATCCTATCACTGAGAACTTGGAGATATCTGCAACATTCACATCTTCCAAAAATTCAGAACATTCTCAACCAACTGTGATAACAAGGTGTAAAGCTGGATGAACACAGCAGGCCAAGCAGCATCAGAGGAGCAGGAAAGCTGGCGTTTCGGGCCTAGACCCTTCTTCAGAAATG